AAAAAAAAAAAAAAAAAAAAAAAAAAAAAAAACCATCATGAAGACTATGAACAATTCTGAATGGGTGAATGCCCTGAACGACATTCACCTCTTCAGGATCGTTCAGGATCCTCAACGCTGGGGGGGGTGCTTTCAGGCCTTCAGGGCATTAACCCCTTTAGGATGATTCACGGAAAAAAAAAAAAAAAAAAAAAAAAAATTTACCATGAACAACATCTTGCACCCCAAACTTTTACAATTGCAAGCTATGATTCATCATGTACAAACATGAATTCAAACCCGAAAAACCACTTAATTTTTTCCATTTTCAGAATGTTCATCATCTGTGAATATTCATCTATGTGATAACCACTTGTGGATCCTGATGAACCAACCTCCTCAATTGTTCAGTCTTAGCGACAAAGTTCTTGATGAAAGTTCTTGATGAGCCGAAGAAGCTTCTAACATCGGTTATCGAATGAAAGTACTATCCATTCGATAATCTTGTTCGTCTTTCTTACATCCGGCCGACGACCCTTCTCACTACAAACGAACCCTAGGATGGTAGCATCCCTTATGCAGTGTCTGAATTTGGCTCCACTTGTCGTGAGGTTGTGCTCTTCAAGCAAACTCGGGACTTTATCAAGATCCAGAACGTGCTTCCAAACAAAGCGCCTTACTCCCGGCAAGACTTCGACACTCTCCTTCTCTCTCGGCCCCTTTACTGCCAAGTCGTGGATATACGACTGAGTGATATGCGGACTGATTGACTGCATGGCTCGAATCATACAACAGAAAAATTCCCATGAGAAGTGAAAGTTGAAAAAACATTCCATAAAAACAAAATCTTTCATATTTATAAATTATCATTCCAATGTTTATCCAATTCTAAAATTTTCAATTTAATTTGATAAGTTCTCGTCTAAATATGAGCTTGCTCTTCCAACTACATATATTTGTTCAAGATGGAATGAAAGTTTGGACGATTTTATCAAATGTTTTAATTAGACTTTCATTCTACTACAACAAATATCGTATAATTTAGATTGGATTAACTTATTTATGATTGGAAATCCTTACTTAGAATGACAGTCCAATTAAAATATTTCATGAACTCATCTAGACTTTCATTCCATCTCTAGCATGCAGTTCGAATAAGAAAGGATACCCCATTCTTGGAAGGAAAGTTTTCAAGTAAGACAGAAAATTTTAAAATTGGAATGACAATTTTTAAGATGGAATGAAAATTCGAAATTTATAATGTAATTTTACTCTAAAATAATTATTTAATTCTGAAAAAAAAATATGTTGTATGTCGCTGAACCATTGCCACTGCATTAGTCCATCCTTGTGGAGCCACATTCATGTGGATCAGCCCTCTAGGCATATGCATCGCCGTCACCAGCCTGTCTAACGGGTAGACAAGAAACTGGTCATATCCCGAGTAGAGGTCTATAAGTGAAATTATAGGTCTCCCAACATAGGACTCTGACAGTGCGTCTACATTTGACAAACCTCCCTCATCTCGCACAGTCACCGCATTCAGTCGCTGCAAATCTTGCACCAACCGCAGCATCCCATTAGGCTTAACAAAACAAAACCATGGAGATGCGTACGACTCACTTGAGTAGTCGGCGACATGCGTACGTATCTTGTCGTCGAGGTTATCCACCACCTTTGTTTCCTCGTCAAGATTAGGATACCGTGCCCGCCTCAAGTTTCATGGCTCATTTGGCACGATATGAATCCGGATTATGGGGATCTTATCTACGTCCAACCACCCTCGTTGATCGTCATCGAACGCATAGGCGCAATGCTTCTTCTTCATCAACTCTATCATCAGCGCCATCTCCCGGGGTAGCAGGAATTCTGGGTCTCCTACTATCAACTTCTTCTCATTCTCTCCATTGATACGGCACGGCCCAACCGCTGCTTGCTCCCTCATGCGTTGTATCAATCCTCGTTCTCGTTCGTAATAGACCCCCTCATCTTTCGTGACGAGAACGAGAACTGGGCGACACTTCTTATTTATCGTCTTGTACCGCCTTTGGGAACCCTGTTTGAGCCGTCCCCTAAAAAAGGTCGGCTTACTGCTTATGCCTGCATCATTGCAGGGTCCCTCCTTCCGACGGGAAGCCGATAGACCAGCTCCAGTTCCCCAGCCTGGGGACACTCCAGTACCTGCTCCCTCAATGTCTGAATGGCGTCTGGATCCGCCATCTCGTGTGTGGCCACTATATCCATGACCTTGTTTACGTCCGATAAACTCAGGGAGAACGCTTCACCACTTTCTTCCTCCTCTGGTTCCATAAGGAGTCGTCGACGCTCATCCTCAGATTCTTCGATTGTACACGAGTCAGGATTGGGCCGGTTCCTTATACTCCGTGGACCGGTGTTCCGGCAAGTGATTATTTCATAATTCCCACATGCCGGATCATACATAATCAGGATTATAGTTTCGTCGTGTTCATTAAACATCAACGTTTCTTTCCTCCACAGGAACGATCTTCCAAGGAGGATGTCATGGTCCACATCTGGCATGACAAAGAAACATGCCCTGACTTTCACTCTCTCAACCTCGATAAGTACGTTCAAGGTTGTCCCACAAAACACTACCTTGCAGTTGGCTCCATGTAAAATGCCACAATCCGAGCGATCTATCTCTAATCCAAACCTGAGTGTGTCAGCTTCCCGGATGATGTTCATTTTTGCTCCCGTGTCCACGATTGTTGCGTACTTGGAGCCTTTTACTACCAAATTCACCATGTCACAGGCCACACACTTCCAGTCCATCTTCGTTCCCGTTTCCGCCCATTCCGCCTCCTTTGGCAGAATCACACTCAGATGTACGCTTGGCAACAGGCATCGCGACAACCTTCCCTTCAATCCACCACGGAGCTTAGGGGCCGACGCCAAAATCTCTTTCAGGATCATAAGGTCGTTATGGTCCTCCAACAACCCATTAATCACCCTTTCCACGTCGAACCCCTCCTCCAATCGAACCGCATACTTCTTCTTTTTTTCGGTGCCACATCGCGCAGAATCGATTCGGCTTCCTTTTGGGCTTCTCTCTTCTTAGCCTTTTGCTCCGCCCTCTGGTCTTCTTCCTGGTGCAGCCTTTCGTCCTGCTCGTCCTCCTCCTCCTCATCCTCTATCTCTACGGCCTTTTTTCTCTTCTCTGGCTCTGGCTCTCTCCCCGGAGGTCCCTGGCTAGCACAGGCTTTAGCCTGACGTCTTGTATGAGCCGCCTGTGCCATTCTTCCTTGCGCCGTAGGGGGTCTGACCATCATTCCAGACCGTGGGCCTGATCCCACGGTCGCTACTCCGGGTCGCCCTGGCATTGATTCCGGGCCAGACTCGTAAAGAAAGACTTTGGGAATACCAGCCCTCCAACCTTCTACTTCCTCGCAAAAGTCTACCAATTTCTGCTAGTACCTTCCCATTTTCTCCCACAAGTCTTCCATTTTCCCCAGAAGGATTGATGTTGGCTCTACCTTCTCATTTTCACTCTCTTCATCTGACTAAATGACTATGGGCTCTTCTTTTATAGCTCCTGCCCGCAGCCTCTGAGTCACCTCTTCATCACATTCCACCTCTTTCACCCTAATGATTGGTGGGTCATCCTTTTCCTGCCACAACCTGAACATGGCAGGTAGGGCTTGCCGTGTATCTATCTGTCTCTGAGCCTCCGCCCTTACTCCGCCCGGAACCTTTCGGTCGATATACTCTCCAAACTGATCGTGTATATCACCATCCATATTGGAATAGATCAGTCCGGCCTTCTCATCATCTCTCCTTATGTTGCAGAACTGTATCGTGTGACCTTGCTTGTCACAATGTTAACAAATTGTGGTTCTCCAATCAAAACATGGCCTTCCATACCCCTGACCTCCTTGGTTCCCTTGGCTCCCTTGATTTCCCTGACCCTGGTAGCCCTAGTTGTCCCACTGACCTCCTCGGCCACCGTTATTCCTTCCACGTCCTCTTCCGCCGCCTCTTCCTCCATTGCCCTGATTACCCCGGCCTTGATTGCCTCCACCTGCCACACTACCCAGTGAACTTGGCGCGGGCGACGGAGGCGGTGTCATAGGTTGGGCTTGTATTGCGGGATAGCTTGGTGGTGGCATACACGCCTGGGGCCCAGCGTATGGTACCATCTGCCCAGATGGAGTCGGGCTTCCCCATCACACAAAGGTATTAAACACAGGCCATGGTTACTGCCCGAATGGTGGTACCGCCGCTTGTGAGGGTCCCACGCTACCTGACGAAGGCGACGTACTTGGCGATGCTACTATCACTGCTTGGGGCGCCCGCCCCTTTCTTGAGCCTCCCCCCCCCCTGCGTTAGATTGTATTGTTTGCGTAGCGCCTTCGAGAGGTGTTAGGGCACCGGCTCCTCTTCTTCCCACTCCTCCTGGACGGCTTCCTCTATCACTGGATCCTTCCCTTTTCCTTGGATTGTCGTCACCACTTTCTTTTGTATCACCGCGTCTTTCCCATAGCCCAACTCTGCAAGAACGTCGGTGACAATCCTCTTCACTTCCGGGGTCCCTGAGGCGGTTGCATCTCATTCTTTCCTCTTTCGCCTTTGCAGGCGCATCTAATACTACTCCACCTGGTTCAGACTTCCTTCCTCTACCCCTTTGTCAATAGTGGCCCAGGTGAGTTTCGCACTTCCTCCTCCATGGCTCGTCAACTCTGACGCTTCTGATGCGGTGAGCAATCCCAAGAAAATAGCACATTGCGCTTCCTCAGAGGTCCCAGGGATCTTTTTCGCCTTTTTTTTAAACTCTTGTACGAAGGCGCCCACCGTGGTGAAGTCATCCCTGTTCATTGCTTCCAGGTCCGCAGTGGTTAACAGGTCATCGTCCAGTCTGTACTTCCTTTGTATTCCATCTTTGAATCTTGCCCAACTGCCATTAGTTGCGTTCACAACCTTCTTCACCTCTTGGTGATGGCCATGGAGCACATACTTCAGAATCCGTTGAAACTTATCAGCGTCAGATAGTCCGACTAGCGCTTGTTCCACCAAGTCAAGCCAATCAGAGACCCGTTTTCCACTGAAGTGGAAGATATCGACCTTGGGAACGTTGCTTTGTGACCTTTTACGCATGTCCAAGGCTTCAACCAGATCATCAATCGTCAGGATCTTCCCAGCACCATCAGCTATGCCTCCCAACATCTTGGTCGAACCTCTTATTCAACTTTCCCTGTCAAGAAGAGGAAAGAAAGAGAAAACTTTCATTCAGCGTCTTAACTTACCGTGATGCCTATTGGGTTTCCTAGACAGTCACCTAACGATTCAGATCAAGTAGTAGTACATATCTCTTCCCTTTGAACTCATCTTAATAGGTCTCATTTTCACTATAGGGTGTCCTTTATGGTTCTCTAACCCAGGCAACCAGGCAGATCTGAGATAAACTTATTACATTTACTAACGTTCATCCATCGTAAATAGCCTGGTAAGACATTACGTACTCTATTTTTTCTTATATACCTTTTCTCTCTTAATTCTATACCCGGATGTCGTTCTACCAGGGACAATGGTAGGCTTCTGTTATCCTCGGCAATGGCCTCACCTGTCGAGCGCATCAGTCCGGCACCACACAAAACGGGGTGGGGCCCTCCCGACCGCGTCACGCAGGAGTTGGTCTGATCCTCGTCGCGAATACACATGGAGCTTCCGCAAGCCGCTCCGGCGAAGTGCGCCAGCCATACCTCTTGCTAGCCCCTACGACAACATAGGGCCTATGCGAGGCACAACTTACCTCCACCTTACGGGAGCTGTCACCTCCCTTCGGTGGGCATATACCCACCGAGCTCCAGTCCACAGTACGAAAGCTAATCAACTACAATCGCAGAGGTGGACCAGCCGAGGGTGTTTCTCGTTCGCTGTAGCATAAGGGGTACGCGCGGTTTTACGCCTCTATCAGACCCGCAAGCGAACCGACGCCTTGGGGGGCTGAGGTCCCAAGCGCGACTCATTGTCGGTTGACTGGGAGGTATCCCACACGCCACGCGTACTCTACTCTAAAGACATAAAAATTAAAAACATGCACACACACGCACACACACGCACATATACTGAACGATATAGAACAAACAAACGTGACAACACTCTTAGTCCCTTAGTAGTCATCCCATAACTTTCCGATGCGGAAATCAGATAAGCGTAGCGCTCGAGACTTTAGTATAAAACCGCGCGGCGCAGGGTCTTCCCATATCGATTAGCAATGTAAGAATACGCAAGTAGTCGCAATGATGGCGTATTATGTAATGCCCATAATCAAGCGGTCCCTCGTGGATCCGAGTACCGCTTATGACTCTCAAGTGTCAAACTCGAAGTATCGTGAAGGTCTACCCCTTCACGATATTGCACGGCTGAAGGAATAGTTGTGCGGCCTCCGCGGCGCCTCCGGCCTTTAGGCTGAGTGTCCCGATACGTAGGGCAAATAGGCTTTGCACGGGGGTTGATCCCTTCCATGCAGAGCTTAGGACCTGGGATGTCTTGGACAAGGACCTTGAATCTAGGCCCATGACCAACGTCCGACTAAAAAAAATTTAAGAAGCATACAACAATAAAAACGGTGTTTTCTTTCCTCTCTCAATCTCAACCCCAATTAAACCCTTAGGCGTGGGCCCCTCTGGCCACGAGAACATCCAACATAGGTATATACATGTATATATGTAAAGATGGAATCATTATGTGACGATTACTTTCTCACAATCACAGTGAGACTCCTCACAACAATATGTATGTGTATGATCGCAGGCAGTCAAATCCAGAATTCGAACCACAGAACATACCTGCAATCACATCAAATAGTCAATCAAAATTCAACGCACTAAACGGAGTCAACTTCAACCAATCTCTATACTCATACCCCTCGCTTTAGTCACGCAAGCCCCAACCTTTGTCTAACCTTCCATAATTAAATACTCAGTACCTTTGTTAAATGGCCATTCAATAAAAATCCGGGTGAAAAACTTAATAAAACAATCAAAATCACCAGGGTCAAAGTTTTATAGGTTGAGTATTGAGGATGAATTGGAGTTGAGTCCTAGACCGACGAATCAGCGACCGACCTGTTATCAATTATAACAGAAGGTGATCCTTGTTGGATCAAGCTGAATCTAGTCCTGATTTCGAATCAAATGTTCAAGATGACCTGTAACACAAGACAGGTCAATCCCCAAGCTAACCCTATGAGTCCAAATCGAGAGTAATCTCCATATCACGATTTCATCAAGAATCATGCTACTTAACTAATCTTGAGTCTACCTCTAAGTCACTGCGTAATGAAAAGGTAGACCTTTGGCAGAGTCTCCTCTATGCAGAGCGGATTGTCAGAATTGCTACCTGTCAAAATATAATCTAACTCCTCTAAACTAAAAAAATTTCGGCAACGCTTTCCGTAGAAAAAGTGCCTTCTCAAAATTTATAATAACTCAAATACGAAAACAAAATTGAAACTTTAATTCTGGAAAGCTAAATTTTGTCTAACTCCCTGAATTAGTAAAAATTTGGGCAGCATCTCATTTAGAAAGATGGACTTCTCAGATTTATACTAAGTCGGACAGAAACTCATAAGTTAAACTTGAGTTCGACTTCAAGACAAAGTTCAACTGACCCCTTAGATTTGTAGAAATTTCGGCAGCGCCTCTAGTAGAGAAAGTGTTATTCCAAGATTTATACAAAACTAAGTTCATAATTTAAAATGTCTTAGACTTCTCAAGGTCCAATTTTGTGTAACTCCCTGAATTAGCAAAAATTTGGGCAGCACTCCCTTTAGAAAATAAGGTTTTCCAGATTTTTACTAAGTCAAAAAGTCAGAAAAACTGGACTCTGAAAAAGACAAAATTTGACCAACTCCTTGATTTTGTAGAAATTTCGGCAGCGCTTCTCGTAGAGAAAGTGGCTTACCAAGATTTATACAAGACCAAGTATAATAAATGATCCCAGAAAATGTATAAATCGACCTAAGTAAAAATAAACTTAGCTCAGAAAATGCAGGAATTGAAACTAACTCCTATAGCTCTAGCACGTGGCGAGCAACTAAAGCAACTACCTATCAAACTGAAACTCAATCTAAGTAGTAGTCGCACTCAGTCTCATGCAAGCCAAACCACAAAGGTAAGTACTCTCACCATCCCAAAGTCAATTTATCAAACAATTGTTCATTGTCTCTCGATGATTTATCCCTTTATACCCAACTTACATAGGGCATAAAACTAGACCACCCAAACTTATGGAACATGTCTAGCTCAACTATTGAGTATACACAAACACAGGGCACAACAATTTTTTTCTTCTTTGGGCATATGATTAGGCCACCCGCCCTGAACTATTTAAGTATTCAAGTTTTATATAATTATCTTCACTTAGTCTTTTGAGGTAGCATATAACTGAACCGATCATTTTTAGTTCAAGATTCAGTCTGCGCCTTCGTACCACATGTTTATTCTTAATTAGTACTCTCTTCAGTTTGTGATAAGCTATAGTCAGACCACCCAAACTTATGGAATCCTGTCTGACTAGCCTGTGCATAAGTAATGTAGTAATAACGTATAGTCAAGTTATAATCTTCTGGTTCCAGCATGTGCGTGGTGTTGGACCAAGACCACCCAAACTTATGGAACATGTCTTGGTCCTCAGCCTAGTTCATTTTTCTTAAAACCAAAGCAACAAGAGGCTGAGTCACCCAAACTTATGGAACATGCTCAGACCTCCTCGTTCAAAACAACAAGAAACTGAAAGAAAACCCAAAGTAAACAAAGCGACCAAGCCACAAAAACTTATGGAACATGCTTGGTCCCTGAAAGTCAATCACAGTCAGCCCTCACAAGTCAGAGCAACCAGACCACCCAAACTTATGGAACATATCTGGTTCTTCAGGCAATTCAAAATAAACATAGCACTCGGTCTCCCCAAACTTATGGAGACGTGTCCGACCTTTGATAGACCCAGTCAAACTCAAGCAATACTGCCTTCCTCCATCCTTCCCCTAGATGCAACCTCACAATCTGCTTTCAATCAAACAATGAAACTCAAACTAACATTGCAGATACATTCCTTTACTTAGTCTGAATCATGTCCTGAAGTCAAACTGAAAGTCAAAGTAGGAATACAAACAGTATACTCAGTCAAAATGTAACAAGGAATACGGATAAGGATTATAACTGGGTTTATAAAGGGAAAGCAAATGATTACCTCCCAGTTCCATGCCTCCAGAACTCCTCCTAAGTTCCAGCAGAGCTCCCGCAATGGGTGTGCTGACTCCCCACAGAGTCTTGTTGCGGTCCTACGGGTTGCAATCCCGCCTGCCACCTTCCTCTCAGAACTGGACTAGACTTAGAGTAAGAAGGGCAGAATAGGGGTTTGAGACTCTCGAGATACAGGAGGGGGACAAAATCAACTCCCAGGAGAGGGCCTTATTGCCTTCAATAGCCTGAGGGCCCCGCAATGGTGGCCAACGCAGCAACACTTAGTCAACTCTGAAGTCAAACTGCCGAAGTCAACCCTTTGACGACCTCCTAACTCACGAGAATAACCTCCCTTCCAGCAATCACAAAACACTTCGCAGTTCTAGTGCACTGGTCACCGGTGAGCCTTAAAACCTATGGCACTTCTCCACTCACCTCGTACAGTAAAGTGCATACCAGTCGGTGGCCTTGTCTGTCTCATGTAGTTGGCTTGCCGCCCCTTCACCCAGTGGCGGTGCTGTGGAAGCGGTGAGCCTGCAGTATGCAGCTAACTCCCTGCTATTTTGTCTAGTGAAATGGTCGACACATTTGTCCACAGGTAAGTCTCCAAGCCCGCAACTCGCTCGCCCCGTATACCTTGTTCAGTATATTGCCCAACAGACAGACCTCCAATCCACAGATTGTGTCATGCCACTTTTGTCGAACAAAAATGTATCCCAACTTTGGACTGAGACACAGTGGCGTTGCCCCGAAATGCTTCACTCCAATAAAACACGTCCTGGTGCTCTTTCCTATGGCATAGGGACAAGGTCGACAAACATCCAATTAAGACAGCGTGCGCGATAGCGTACGCCGCTGCAGGTCCCACATAGCAGTACCAGATGCCCAGGCTGCAACACCAACTCGGAGCCTTGCTGGCTACGATAGTAACTCGCTACTATAGTAGTTGTTCGCCAGCTGATTGCACAACAGTAACAGTCAAAAGTCGTTGCAGACTCACACTATGTTAATCCCCTCAACCCCTCCTACTCTACTGGTCCGCTCCCATCATT